ACTGGATCGGATAGAGTGGAAGCTGCCATAAGAGCACAATGTTAAATAGCGTGGCCGAATTTCAGAGCCATCTACCAGCTCAGAGGCCATCCTAAATCCCCCCACTCTTCAATAATATATCGAGAAAAAAAATCTTGCTCGCCGGGAATCGAACCCGGCTCGCGCGGATGACGGTCCGACGTCTAACGCACGCGGCTATCACATACACTCGAGAATAATTGTTAAAAAGTGATATATAAGCTGCACGGTGACACACTACACGTAGTGTGTCTCCGAACTGTCAGATGGCACGAATCGCGGTACACGGCCAGCTTCCACTCTATCCGATTCTCTTTGTTGCAAATAATATTCGATATCGACACAGGGTAACTTGCCGACCTTGTCGGTATCAATTTCCGAATTGCTCCATCGCGGCGTAAGTGTCGCAGCTCTTTAAAAGCTGATGGGTATATATTGACAAACAGATCTTTAAGAGCTCGACACGCGATTCCAACTGAAGAAATGATATTGGGAACAGAGACAGAATGAGCGACTACAATTAATTAAAGTATATACATTTTTATAACATGTTATCCCTGTTGTTTGTATCGACAACGTACACTTATCGTTATTTCACTTGTATAATTTAAATATTCTCTCGCATAAGTATACCTCTTTTGTGTACCATAGTATTAAATATCACTTGCGTTAAATGAACACAGCATTCGTGAATTTTTATCATTTTCCAGATCTAATATTTAAAATGTTGCACGAGATCTTATTGTCACTTTGGGGATGCTCGACCAGTGTATCGCAAATAATACAGACAGATGTGAGTGCACGTTGTACAACGTAACAAGAAGTAATATGTAAATTAAGCAATATACATAATTTTAATTATTGCGCTACCTTTACGTGCTTCTCGCCAACTTTCTCATCCAGTCTGTAGATCTCGACAAATACTTACATCCCGGAGAACGAGCGCTGCTCGGCAGGATATTGGACATTGTGAAGGAGTGCAACGTCGTGCGAGACTTCATACACGCAGTGAGCAGCGAGGATGCGAAAGGTTCGAGGAGAAGCGGGATGAAACACATTTTACGCGGTTGACGTCGTTTCGCATTCAATTTAATCGTTTTGTCCCGCAGAATGCGTGGCTCCCGGTTTGTATATACGCGCTCTGTGCGATGGAATGGATCAAGCGCTGGAGCCGTTTCGCGAAGAAATCATCGAATTGGAGAATACGGTCTTGAACGACCGCCACACCCCGCTGTCGTTGATTCTCTGCAGCGTTGAAAAGTACACCTGTCTGTTTTCCGTACTGAATTCCATCATTCGTGAGGTGATTATACGCTTCTCCAAGAAAGAGATTTTATGTCAGCTAGTTTTCGCTCCGGTTATATTCACTTGCTTTTCTGCATTTAGGATTAAAGAGTTGCGTTTTCTCCATTCCACTTTGTAGCAATGTTATTTCACGTGCGCTGTTTAATAAGAATTTCAACGCAAAGCAATTCTTATTACGGTATCGAATAGAATAGCTCCTGTCACCAAGTATCGTTTGTGCTGAAAGAGAGAATGAC